AAAGTTCAAACCTTTTGCTAAATGTGCATCTGCAAATATTTGATTTGAGGAAAAACAAATCTTTCTGTACACTTGCACAAATTAAATTCGAGAAAAAAAAATCTAAAAATCTTCCTAAGTGCTCCAGTGATAACCACTGAAACTAAGGAGTCAGTTAGGTGAAAAAGTATGCCTTAGATTTTAGCATTCTGCACAATGTATTTATTATTGCATTGCTTTTATCAGGATTGGTGTAAAACTCAGAAAATCAGTTTGTAGAGATTTTTCTCTTCTGTTTTCTGCACGTGGCACATTGTCCCAATATTTTGGATAAGTAATTCACTCTTTCCCTACAAAAGTCACCATCTTTTAATGTCAGTCTAATGAAAAGACAMAAAGTAACTGTGCTGGTGAGGAACAGGAGAATTAAAAGCCAAAAAAAAAAAAAAGCCATAGAGTTCATGAATTCATCTTGCTTATCCCTTTACTGTGGATTGGGAAGTAATGTCAAGATTAGTGGATTTTCTGGTACATTTGAGATACAATCTACAATTTTAAAAAACAATCTGTTTAACTCTGTTTCTGAGATGAGATTTTAAAATTTACTTTCAAATRKTGAAAAAGCTTTTGTATCAGTTTGGCACATAGGAACTTTTCATAGAAATTTTGTTTTCTTACAGAGCTTAACAGATTGCTGGTATGCAGAGAGCACTTGACTCATAAAGACATGTCATTGTTTCACTGTGCTTCCTCTATTGCAACAAGTCTCCATCTGCTAAGTCTTGTCTTTTTATTAGATTGCAGATTCCTAGGGCAGGAGTTTGTCCTTTTGTTGGCTGTATGAATCACATGATAAAATGGAGGCTCAGTTTGGGAAGAGTACCTAAACAGCTGTGACAGTAAAAAGTAGCAAAATGRTGTTCCTCGGTTTTTAGGATGGATTTTAGAGATTTTAGTTTTTAGACTGTTGTCTAAGGAAGAGCCAGCAATTACGTTGGTGTGCAACTGAAAGYCTGTGTGTAACATTGGCTCCCACAAGTACAAGTTTTAGTCTTACTAGTAACAGAATAGTCTTCTTGATTAATGACCTCAACTGAAAATCCCTGAGCATTTTGTGCTTTTTTTTT